CAACCATAAAATTATTTTCGTTGCTACTTCATAACTGTAATGTTGTTACTGTTATGAATCGTAATGTAAGTATCTGATATGCAGGATGTATTTTCATTGTTACAAATTGAACATAAAGCATAGTGATTAATCACAAAAACTATGTAATTATATGTTTTCCAATGGTCTTAGGCAACCCCTGTGAAAGGGTCATTCAACCCCCAAAGGGTTCGCGACCCACAGGTTGAGAACCACTGCATTAGGGGAAGGACCACATAATAGTGGTGCTGCTACAAACATTCAGGTACAAGTTTTTGTTTGAGTACCTGCTCTTCAGCTGAGAGCGCCATCATGAAGAGACAGCCCAGCCCTAACCAGTTTGGCTCAGTGGATAGAGCTTCGTCCTGCGGACTGAAGGGTCCCAGGTTCAATTCCGGTCAAGGGCATGTACCTTGATTGTGGGCACGTCCCCAGTAGGAGGTGTGCAGGAGGCAGCTGATTGATGTTTCTCTCCCTCGATGTTTCTAACTATCCCTCTCCCTTCCTCTCTAAAAAATCAATAAAATACATTAAAAAAAAAAAAAAAAGACAAATCGGACAAGCTGGTGACCGAGCAGCTGATCAGCATGGCCTACGGGCAGATTGGTATGATCCAGGGTCTAGGCAGGGCTTCTTCACTTTGTGATTCTAGCTGAGCATGCCTTCCTCCCGGTTAACCAGCTGGGCATCTGAGTGGACTGGGATGACTGCTGGATCAACGACATGGAGGACAGCTACGGGCAGCAGTGGACCTATGAGGAGGAAGATCGTGGAGTTCGCCTGCCACACGGCCTTCTTTGTCAGCATCGTGGTGGTGCAGTGGGCCGGCGTGGTCATCTGCAGGACCCAGAGGAACTCCGTCTTCCAGCAGAGAATGAAGAACAAAATTTTTTTTTAAATATATTTTTATTGATTTCAGAGAGGAGGGGAGAGGTAGAGAGAGAAACATCAATGATGAAAGAGAATCATTGATCAGCTGCTTTCTGCACGCCCCCTACCGGGGATCCAGCCTGCAACCTGGGCATGTGCCCTTGGCTGGAATCGAATCTGGGACCCTTCAGTCCACAGGGCAATGCTCTATCCACTGAGCAAACTGGCTAGGGCTGAAGAACAAGATCTTAATATTTGGCCTCTTTGAGGAGATGGCCCTCGCTGCTTTCCTTTCCTACTGCCCTGGAATGGGAGTCGCCCTGAGGATGAACCCCCTCAAACCTACCTGGAGGTTCTGTGCTTTCCCGAGCTCTCTTCTCCTCTTCGTGTATGACAAACCTGAAAACTCATCATCAGGCGAAGCCCTGGAGGCTGGTGGAGAAGGAGACCTACTAGAGCCCGCCCTGCACGCCTGTGCGTCGTGCCACACTCTGCACCCTCACCCGCCCCTTGTGTACTTCAGTCTTAGGACTCAGAACTCCACCCTGGTAGGAAGCGCTGAAGCATGTGGGGGAAGTGAGCTGTCCCAGAATGAAGCATGTAGCTATATGTGGGGGTATGTGTGTGTGTGTGGGGGGGCTGCCTGGCAAACATCCATCTGTGGGAATGACAGTGGGGAAGGTGTTTATGTGACTTTTTGTTTTTGTAAAAAGGAAATCATAAAAAGACCGAAAGAATACATTTGATATGTGAATTTTTACAAATAAAGATGGCTATTATAATGGGAAAAAAGAACCTACTAAGTGCCAGGCAGACACTATTGCAGGTGATGAAGATAATAGCCTTTTATATATATACTAGAGGCCCGGTGCATGACATTCGTGCACTGGGGTGGGGGGTCCTTCAGCCCAGCCTGTGTCCTCTCACAGTCCAGGACCCCTCGTGGGATGTCCGCCTGCTGGCTTAGGCCCGCCCCCCATTAAGCTGGCAGGCGGACATCCCCCAAGGGTTTCTTAGTGCTGCCACCACCGCCACCGCAGCTGTGCTCCCCAGCCATGAGCCCGGCTTCTGGCTGAGTGGCGCTCCCCCTGTAGGAGCACACTGACCACCAGGGGGAAGCTCCTGGTTTGTTTGTTTTTTAATATATTTTATTGATTTTTTTTACAGAGAGGGAGAAGGATAGAGAGTTAGAAACATTGATCAGCTGCCTCCTGCACATTTCCTACTGGATGTGCCCACAACCAAGGTACATGCCCCTGACCGAATCTAATCTGGGCTCTATCAGTCTGCAGGCCGATGCTCTATCAACTGAGCCATACAGGTTAGGGCAGGGGACAGTCCTGTTTTGAGCGTCTGCCCCCCTGGTGGTCAGTGCACATCATAACAACCGGTCATTCCACCGTTTGGTCTATGTGCATATTAGCCTTTTATGTATATGTATATATAACGCCCCTGTTTTCAAAGAGCTTATCTTCTGGAGTTTGTGCAATAAATACAATAAAAATAGCTAATGCTTATTAAGTGCTTGCTTACCATATTTCCTGGTTTCAATTTTCACAATTCTGTGAGATGGCTGTACTGTTACCTCCCTCATCTCCATAAGAGGGAGCAGTCATGGAAAAGTTAAATAAAGTACCCAGCCAGTAAGTGGAAGAGCTGGGGTTTAGGTAGCCGGCTGGAGCGGGGCCCTGGCCGAGGTGTGCTGGCTGCACGCAGTGACCAGCCTACCTCTCTGCAGGTGTGGGGAAGTGCGGGCAGGAGGCAGCGCAGCCTGAGCAATGGACACTGATAGGGTGGGAGGGCCAAGCTGGGCTGGGAAGACGCCCAGTTTACTTGGGGCTGCTTCTCCCTCCTCTCTTTACTTTTCCTCTCTTACCAATTTTCTCTTCTTTCTCTCCGTCTCTTTTCCGCTTTCCCTCTTCCCTTCTCTCCTTTACTACTTTTGACATGGTCACTGTTTCTTAAGTAAAATGTTTCCCAGTGCTTCGTTTTTTTAGAAACGTCGTGAAGTGGAACATTTTGTAGTTTGGGCTTTAGGAAGAACAATCGAATCGTCTGTGTATCCAAGGCCCTTTGAAAAAAGAAAAAGGCGGCAGTGACGGCGGCCGGGGCGGCTCTCCTGCTGGGCCCGCTGCGCGGCT